AACATCCTCTGTGCCAACCTCCAGCCAATTGCAGTTACGCCCATGAAAAATACAAACTTTTATTCAACTGTATCCCACCGAAAGCTTTTGAGTTCAATAACTGTTCACGTATCAACAGTCCCCATCATCCCTTTGGGGTATCGTAAATGAACAAAGTTTAGCCCTGTCATAGTACTATAGAATTTCCTCCACTTTCCTCAGGTCGCCAATGGAGATGAGTACCGGACGCAAGAGCGTAACGATGGGACGCGTTGTTTCTGTGCCAGGTGGGAGCCTATTCGTTGCCCCAGCAAGGAACATCACGATGAGGGGAAGGAAGATGCCGTCACCTTCCCCAGGGCAACGCAAGCGAAGGGGCCTCGGCGGAGATTCCCACGTGTGAAGAATGGCTTCCGGGCACTTCTTTGCTTCATCCGGAAGTACTGCTGCTGCGGTGTGGGCCTAGTAGGCTGAAGGCCCAGGCAGTGAAGTACAGGGTAGTGAGTGTGGGGGGGTGGGGGGGGGGGGAATTAACCCCATGCCTTGCGAATTTGTTGTTCCCCTAGTAGCTGCTACGTGACATGGAACCCAGCGGCAGGAGAGGCGACGGCAGAAACGCTGAGGACTCGTCACGGACTTGGGGAGTCGTCTGGTGCCAGCAGTCCGCGGAGAAGACCGGGCAAGCCAGGGGGAGTGTAAGATGGCTGCCCATCATCACACCGCAGACGCATGGGACTAGCCCTGATGAATGGCCCCTCACAATCGGACCTCTCCCCTGGGGTTTTCTTCCCAGGCAGCCTAGTGTGCGAACTCAGCCAAGGGTTTCCCAGAGGGGAGAGATTTGGCCAAAGTCCGATGTGAGTTGGGAGCCCCGGCCCCTGTGACGAGAGTGAGTTTGCCACGAGACCACCTCCAGGAGAGTCCGGATGACAGAAAATGGACACATGATAACCGTGTTGTATGCTAAGAAACACACAGCACCAGTGTTTTTCGTGGTTAGTTGTCACCGGAGCCTTTAGTGGGTCAGCTAATATTGCATTCTCTCACCCGTCCGTGTCTATGTCGAGACCCGGCCGTGACTCGTGTGCATTTGAGATGCGATCTTAGTGGTATCCTGAAGCAAGTTAGAGCCCCATGTTGACCGTGCATTCCATTGGCATTTTGTGTACCCAAAAGTTTCCGATTTAATAAAAATAATGAAAAGTTTATCCACGAGCAGTGTCTTCTGAATGAGTGTTGTAAGAAGAGTGTTGGGTGGCCAAGGCACGACACCAGGCATAGGCGACGGCGCGCCAGTTTAATCTTCCCCAACAGCGAGTGGCCTGTGCGGCCGAGGGGAACCTCTGTAAACGCGAGTTCTTGCCGACTTGCATCGTGGGTCCGCACGGTGTTCAGCGAGCGGAGGAGGAGGTGGGAGTGAGTGTGTTTGCGAATTTGGGTGTCGCTGCGCCCGCAGTCTTTGAGACTCGCGGCCATGGGTGGAGCGTGAAGATTTCGGGCTGCGTGAGCAGGTCGAGCCGCATGGCAGAGGGAGGGGAGGCAGAGACTTCCATTGTGCACCACCGTGCGCCACCGCCACCGCACACCACCGTCAATGTGTACCACCGCCACTGTGTACTACCACCACCGTGCACCACCGCCAATGTGCACCACCGTCACCGTGTACCACCACCACCGCGCACCACCGCCAATGTGCACCACCGTCAATGTGCACCACCACCGACGCAGCAGCGTCACCAAAAAAAATCAATCCCACATCGGTTTTGACAATTTTATTACGATAAAAGGATGGTTTAACACATCTTTACATAGCAATGAGCCATAGTTAAACACCTGACGATAAAACATAGACTGTACAGCAAAAGGATAATCATTTCTATGACGACGCGCGCACACGCATAAGCGGCTACAACAATCGCGCGTGCGGAATGAGGAGCGGAAAGTTAAAATTACAGCAGCCCGGGTGGCGAGCGCACTGTCCCATCCTGCTTTAAACCCAGGAGCACAGAGTTCGGAACTGAAGTCCGCCGAGTTTCTTGTACACCCCCCCCCCCCCCACTCACGTCGCAGTTTGTGCTCAGTACCGGGCTCCTGTTGAAATAATATAAGAAACTAAAATATTAACAAAAAGTAAAAAAAATCACAGCAGCCCGTGTGAGGGTTCTATTGCCAAAAAAGCAAGAGGCAGAATGGGTTCAGCACGCAGGAGGATTTCGCTACCAATATTATCCATAAGAGGTTTTGGGTTAGATCGTGTGCTGCATTAGTAACAAATTGGCATGTTTTGTTTCCGTGACAAACCTTACTAATTGGCTGTTTCGGGTGGTGGCGGGTTTAACGACGCATTTATATATACGTGATCTAACCCAAAAACCTTCATTATCCGCAGAATGATGTTTGACCGATTTCGGATCTGCCTGTAAAACACACCAGATGCAATAGAACTCGTCTTGCACGAAAACCCGAGTCATATCATGGAAAAGAGGAAGAATAATAAACTAAACTATTAAACTATGTGTTTTTTTATTTTTACCAGGTAAGGCCCCACTGAGTTATGTAGCTCTTTTTCAGAAGCGACCTGACTCACAAATGATAGCTGAACGAAGTGGGCTTATCATCATCGTCACCATCGCGTGGAAATTTATAGCAGCAGCCAAATACACTAAACGCGTGATGTTCATTATAAATGTCGAGGGAAACACCGGAGGACCCGGAGAAAATTACACACGACCACGGGGAGAAAACGCAAACTCCAAATATACAGCAGCTGGCATCAGGGTCGGGATCAAACCCACGACCTCCTGTATACCAGGCGAGGGAGATAACATCTCCTAGCCACCGTGGCACCCCAAAAATATCTCACGAAACCAGACGAGGGGAGAACTGCGCAGAAACGCATCATCTCCAGTGGTTTATTGTTACGCAACTGACAAAAAACCGGGACATTTCAGGGGAAAAATAATATCTCTATAAATGCCCACGGAAGACTTACAGATTTCCCAGGAACGCTACCCCAATAAGAGAACATCCTGGAAAAAAAAACTAGGGCAGGAGGCGACGCTGGAATACACGTACAGCCCTTGAGCTAATCCACTCAATGGATGAGGGCCCCCCCCCCCCCACCATTCGGTGTGGGCCATGGGGGTTATTTGACCAAACTTTGCGTGGGGTTCCACAAATCGTGGATTATAATCCACTCCCCAGGTCTCGCCAGGACGTACTGTAGGCCACCCCAATTGCGGAAACACTGCGCCGCTTGCTAAGGTGGGTTTTACTGGTGAGGATGAGATATTACAGACCGGGTCTCGATTCGCGTTCTCGCAGATTGTTTGGCAGGCAACAGCCGAGTTTGTTGCTTGTTTTCAGCCACGGTCGGCGGACAGCACATTTTCACCACGAAATAAAAGCGGCCTTAGATTTTGTCTCCATCGATGTCTGGACATTTCAAAGTGGCGGTGAGAGTGCAGAGAAGGTCTGTGAAACATTGAGATGGAAAATCTCGTGGGAGACACCCATCAATATACGCAGAGTTTAGAGCTCAGCCCTCGATCAGTCCAGGGCTGAGCACTGGAAAATACTTCTCGATTCCTCCCTCGCTGGTCGGGGAGGTGGGGGGTGGACGTGGATCTGGGGATTTGGGGTACCACGGAAAATATACCATGAGGAATTAAACCCTGATTCCTTAGAGGAATTAAATCATGATTCCTTAGAAAACAGTTATTCACCGTTCTTACCGCACTTTTTTTTTTAAACCAAAAGGTTCCAAATAATAAAAATGTGTTTGTTTGACCCACACATTCCTGAATGTTCAACACCTTGAGGAAGCCCTGCGTTTGGAGGTTTTAAAAAGTCTTAATAATTTTTAAAACATTTTTGGGACAAATCCTATGCATGCAAGTTTGCGCCGTGTGAACCACAGCATGTCCCCAACATACTGTCGGCAGATACACCACGTGAAGCATATACAGTGAGGGAAAAAGTATTTGATCCCCTGCTGATTTTGTGCGTTTGCCCACTGACAAAGAAATGATCAGTCTATAATTTTAATGGTAGGTTTATTTGAACAGTGAGAGACAGAATAACAACAACAAAAATCCAGAAAAACGCATGTCAAAAATGTTATAAATTGATTTGCATTTTAATGAGGGAAATAAGTATTTGACCCCTCTGCAAAACATGACTTAGTACTTGGTGGCAAAACCCTTGTTGGCAATCACCGAGGTCAGATATTTCTTGTAGTTGGCCACCAGGTTTGCACACATCTCAGGAGGGATTTTGTCCCACTCCTCTTTGCAGATCTTCTCCAAGTCATTAAGGTTTCGAGGCTGACGTTTGGCAACTCGAACCTTCAGCTCCCTCCACAGATTTTCTATGGGATTAAGGTCTGGAGACTGGCTAGGCCACTCCAGGACCTTAATGTGCTTCTTCTTGAGCCACTCCTTTGTTGCCTTGGCCGTGTGTTTTGGGTCATTGTCATGCTGGAATACCCATCCACCACCCATTTTCAATGTCTTGGCTGAGGGAAGGAGGTTCTCACCCAAGATTTGACGGTACATGGCCCCGTCTATCGTCCCTTTGATGCGGTGAAGTTGTCCTGTCCCCTTAGCAGAAAAACACCCCCAAAGCATAATGTTTCCACCTCCATGTTTGACAGTGGGGATGGTGTTCTTGGGGTCATAGGCAGCATTCCTCCTCCTCCAAACACGGCGAGTTGAGTTGATGCCAAAGAGCTCCATTTTGGTCTCATCTGACCACAACACTTTCACCCAGTTGTCCTCTGAATCATTCAGATGTTCATTGGCAAACTTCAGACGGACATGTATATGTTACCTGTATAAAAGACACCTGGGAGCCAGAAATCTTTATGATTGAGAGGGGGTCAAATACTTATTTCCCTCATTAAAATGTAAATCAATTTATACCATTTTTGACATGCGTTTTTCTGGATCTTGTTGTTGTTATTCTGTCTCTCAATGTTCAAATAAACCTACCATTAAAATTATAGACTGATCATTTCTTTGTCAGTGGGCAAACGTACAAAATCAGCAGGGCATCAAATATTTTTTTTCCCTCACTGTAGGCAGGAAGGCAGGAAACAGCCACGCCCAGCATGGCGCGGGTTCACGCGACACTCCGCTCATCCTCACAGCAGCGGCGGCTTTTGGCTCGGCCATCAACCAAAGACGGACTTCACCGCATTGCACCACTTTCAGATGCGCTTCTGCGGCCGTCTGAAGCGCTCTTCCTTCTGATATTAGGAAGAAGCCACTGGAGCTATACAATTTTAAATATAAATTGAAAACCCATTTCTTTAGAACTGCTTTTTGTGTTTAGTTGTATGTCCTTCCGCAGCACCTCTAATTAGCACGGTTGGTTACGTATGGTGCAAAAGAAGTTAAACACACGTGCATATAATGCCAATAGCATCACCGATCTCCGCCCATCATCTCCCATCCAGCGGCATATGTGGCGTGCAGAGTTTTATTTATTTAAACTTTTCCCCCACCACTGCGTTGATGTCAATCGATTCGTTTAACAGTCGAACCGATAATCAGTGTAATAATACTCGGAAACGCAGCACTAATTTTAACCCGATCGCAATATCAAAGACTCAATATATTGTAGGGATCACTCAACTTGTAGGGATCACTCAACATCTGTTTGCCCCGAGCCACACAGGCCATTGCATATCCCGGCAGACATTAACTTCAGAATTTCGGTTCATCATCACACGCAGCTCTCGCGGCTAAGAGGAATCAAAATCCTTGCTCCAAAATTCGGGCCATGCCTCCCAATTAATTTCAGGACGTGTCAACCTGTCACCTTGTCCATCCCTCACCGCCACCCCCTGGGACTTTCTCCTTCCCACCCCCCCCAAACCTCTACTTGGTTGTATGGGCCTCTTCCGGCAAGGTCGGCTGACTGCAAACGGCCGAATTTTCTCCTAGCTCCTTCGCCAGCCGCCGTTGGTAGTAGAGGAGGTAGAAGGGCAGGCCGAGGCTCAGCACCGAGACCGCCAGCAGGAGGCCGTTCACCTGTTGCAAAGACGAAGATCCCCCCTGTAGCCTTGACCGACTGTTGGGGCAAGTGCCGGTAGCGAGCACCTATGAAGGCCGACACGGCACACGGGGGTGGGTGGCCAGCACCACGCCCGGCCGCCTTTGCCTCCCTAGTGGCGATATTTACACTGCGCCAGGTACTCATTTGAGGCCGAGTCGACCTAGGGGAGGCCCAGGACCAGTTCAGATACTCGCCACCGGTGTTGGCCGTGAGCGCGTTTTGAACTCGGACCGCCCGGTTCGTAGCGCAGCGCTCTAACCGCTACACTACCGCTCCGCATAGATACCACACACACACACAGATACCACACACACACACACAGATACGCACACACAGATACCACACACACACAGACACCACACACACACACAGATACCACACACACACACAGACACCACACACACACGCACACACAGATACCACGCACACACACAGATACACACACACACAGATACCACACCCACACAGACACCACACACACACAGACATCAAACACGCAGATACCACACACACACAGACACCACACACACACAGATACACACACACAGATACCATGCACACACACAGATACCACACACACACGCACACACAGATACCACGCACACACACAGATACACACAGATACCACACACACACGCACACACAGATACCACGCACACACACAGATACACACACAGATACACATACATGCACACACACACACACAGATGCCACACACAGACACCACACACACACACACAGATACCACACACACACAGACACACACACAGATACCATACATACACAGACACCACACACACACACAGATACCACACACACACAGATACCACACACACAAACAGACACACACACAGATACCACACACACACAGATACCACACACACACACATACCACACACACACAGATACCACACATACACAGACACCACACACACAGATACCACACACACACACATACCACACACACACAGATACCACACATACACAGACACCACACACATACACAGACACCACACACACACATACCACACACACACAGAGACACCACACACATACACAGACACCACACACACACATACCACACATACACAGACACCACACACATACACAGACACCACACACACACAGACACACACACACCACACACACAGATACCACACACACACATACCACACACACACGCACACACAGATACCACGCACACACACAGATACACACAGATACCACACACACACGCACACACAGATACCACGCACACACACAGATACACACACAGATACACATACATGCACACACACACACAGATGCCACACACAGACACCACACACACACACACAGATACCACACACACACACAGATACCACACACACACAGACACACACACAGATACCATACATACACAGACACCACACACACACAGATACCACACACACACAGATACCACACACACAAACAGACACACACACACAGACACCACACACATACACAGACACCACACACACACATACCACACACACACAGACACCACACACATACACAGACACCACACACACACATACCACACATACACCACACACACAGATACCACACACACACACATACCACACACACACACCACACACACACAGATACCACACACACACATACCCAGAGTGCGCTGTCTGCCAGAGTGTCGTCCACCAGGACGAGGTGCAGCGGGTGTTGCAGCAGCGTCACCAGCGCACTGGCGAGGAACTGGACTCCGTTCAGGTACCCAAAGTGCGACTCGGGGAACCTGCACACAGAAGCGGGTTCTGCTCTCAACGTGCCGCACCGCGTTTGCGCGCTTGAACCCGAGACGACATGTACCTACACACAGAGAGAAGACATGTACCTACACACATACAGAGAGAAGACATGTACCTACACACACACAGAGAAGACATGTACCTACACACACACAGAGAAGACATGTACCCACACACACACAGAGAGAGAAGACATGTACCTACACACACACACAGAGAGAGAAGACATGTACCTACACACACACAGAGAGAAGACATGTACCTACACACACACACAGAAGACATGTACCTTCACACACACACAGAGAGAAGGCATGTACACACACACAGAGAATGCATGTACCTACACACACACACAGAGAGAAGGCATGTACCTACACACACACAGAGAGAAGACATGTACCTACACACACACACAGAGAAGACATGTACCTACACACACACACAGAGAAGGCATGTACACACACACAGAGAAGGCATGTACCTACACACACACAGAGAGAGAAGGCATGTACCTACACACACACAGAGAGAAGGCATGTACCTACACACAGAGAAAAGACATGTACCTACACACACACACAGAGAAGACATGTACCTACACACACACACAGAGAAAAGACATGTACCTACACAGAGAGAAGACATGTACCTACACACACACAGAGAGAAGACATGTACACACACACAGAGAAGACATGTACACACACACACAGAGAGAAGACATGTACACACACAGAGAGAAAATACATGTACCTACACAGAGAGAAGGCATGTACCTACACACACAGAGAAGACATGTACCTACACACACACACAGAAAAGACATGTACCTACACACACACAGAGAAGACATGTACCTACACACACACAAAGAGAGAAGACATGTACCTACACACACACAGAGAAGACATGTACCTACACACACACACAGAGAAGGCATGTACACACACACAAAGAGAAGACATGTACACACACACAGAGAAGGCATGCACCTACACACACACACAGAGAAGACATGTACCTACACACACACACAGAGAAGGCATGTACCTACACACACACACAGAGAAGGCATGTACCTACACACACACACAGAGAGAAGGCATGTACACACACACATAGAGAGAAAAGACATGTACCTACACACACACAGAGAAAAGACATGTACCTACACACACACACAGAGAAGACATGTACCTACACACACACAGAGAAGACATGTACACACAGAGAGAGAAGGCATGTACACACACAGAGAGAGAAGGCATGTACACACACACAGAAGGCATGTACCTACACACACACACAGAGAGAAGGCATGTACCTACACACACAGAGAAGACATGTACACAGAGAGAGAGAGAGAAGGCATGTACACACACACAGGGAAGACATGTACCTACACACACACACAGAGAAAAGACATGTACCTACACACACACACAGAGAAGACATGTACCTACACACACACAGAGAGAAGACATGTACCTACACACACACAGAGAGAAGACATGTACACACACACACAGAGAAGACATGTACACACACAGAGAAGGCATGTACCTACACACACACAGAGGGAAGGCATGTACACACACACAGAGAGAAGGCATGTACACACACAGAGAAGACATGTACACACACACAGAGAAGACATGTACACACACACAGAGAAGACATGTACACACACACAGAAGACGTGTACCTACACACACAGAGAAGACATGTACCTACACACACACACAGAGAAGACATGTACCTACACACACACACAGAAAACATGTACCTACACACACACAGAGAAGACATGTACCTACACACACACACAGTGAAGACATGTACCTACACACAGAGAGAGAAGACATGTACACACACACAGAAGACATGTACACACACAGAGAGAGAAGACATGTACCCACACACACAGAGAGGAGGCATGTACCTACACACACACACACAGAGAAGACATGTAACTACACACACACAGAGAGAAGACATGTACCTACACACACACACACACAGAGAAGACATGTACCTACACACACACACAGAGAAGGCATGTACACACACACAGAGAAGGCATGTACCTACACACACACAGAGAGAGAAGGCATGTACCTACACACACACAGAGAGAAGGCATGTACCTACACACAGAGAAAAGACATGTACCTACACACACACACAGAGAAGACATGTACCTACACACACACACAGAGAGAAAAGACATGTACCTACACAGAGAGAAGACATGTACCTACACACACACAGAGAGAAGACATGTACACACACACAGAGAAGACATGTACACACACAGAGAGAAGACATGTACACACACAGAGAGAAAATACATGTACCTACACAGAGAGAAGGCATGTACCTACACACACAGAGAAGACATGTACCTACACACACACACAGAAAAGACATGTACCTACACACACACAGAGAAGACATGTACCTACACACACACAAAGAGAGAAGACATGTACCTACACACACACAGAGAAGACATGTACCTACACACACACACAGAGAGAAGGCATGTACACACACACAAAGAGAAGACATGTACACACACACAGAGAAGGCATGTACCTACACACACACACAGAGAAGACATGTACCTACACACACACACAGAGAAGGCATGTACCTACACACACACAGAGAAGGCATGTACCTACACACACACAGAGAGAAGGCATGTACACACACACATAGAGAGAAAAGACATGTACCTACACACACACAGAGAAAAGACATGTACCTACACACACACACAGAAGACATGTACCTACACACACACAGAGAAGACATGTACACACAGAGAGAGAAGGCATGTACACACACAGAGAGAGAAGGCATGTACACACACACAGAAGGCATGTACCTACACACACACACAGAGAGAAGGCATGTACCTACACACACAGAGAAGACATGTACACAGAGAGAGAGAGAAGGCATGTACACACACACAGGGAAGACATGTACCTACACACACACACAGAGAAAAGACATGTACCTACACACACACAGAGAAGACATGTACCTACACACACACAGAGAGAAGACATGTACCTACACACACACAGAGAGAAGACATGTACACACACACACACAGAGAAGACATGTACACACACAGAGAAGGCATGTACCTACACACACACACAGAGGGAAGGCATGTACACACACAGAGAGAGAAGGCATGTACACACACAGAGAAGACATGTACACACACACAGAGAAGACATGTACACACACACAGAGAAGACATGTACACACACACAGAAGACATGTACCTACACACACAGAGAAGACATGTACCTACACACACACACAGAGAAGACATGTACCTACACACACACACAGAAAACATGTACCTACACACACACAGAGAAAACATGTACCTACACACACACACACAGAAGACATGTACCTACACACAGAGAGAGAAGACATGTACACACACACAGAAGACATGTACACACACAGAGAGAGAAGACATGTACCCACACACACAGAGAGGAGGCATGTACCTACACACACACACAGAGGGAAGGCATGTACACACACAGAGAGAGAAGGCATGTACACACACAGAGAAGACATGTACACACACACAGAGAAGACATGTACACACACAGAGAAGGCATGTACCTACACACACACACAGAGGGAAGGCATGTACACACACAGAGAGAGAAGGCATGTACACACACAGAGAAGACATGTACACACACACAGAGAAGACATGTACACACACACAGAGAAGACATGTACACACACACAGAAGACATGTACCTACACACACAGAGAAGACATGTACCTACACACACACACAGAGAAGACATGTACCTACACACACACACAGAAAACATGTACCTACACACACACAGAGAAAACATGTACCTACACACACACACACAGAAGACATGTACCTACACACAGAGAGAGAAGACATGTACACACACACAGAAGACATGTACACACACAGAGAGAGAAGACATGTACCCACACACACAGAGAGGAGGCATGTACCTACACACACACAGAGAAGACATGTACCTACACACAGAGAGAGAAGACATGTACACACACACACAGAAGACATGTACACACACAGAGAGAGAAGACATGTACCCACACACACAGAGAGGAGGCATGTACCCACACACAGAGAAGACATGTACACACACAGAGAGAAGACATGTACACACACACACAGAGATGACATGTACACACACAGAGAGAAGACATGTACACACACAGAGAAGACATGTACACACACAGAGAAGGCATGTACCTACACACACACAGAGAGGAGGCATGTACCCACACAGAGAGAGAAGGAATGTACCCACACACACACAGAGAGAAGGGATGTACCAACACACACAGAGAGAGAAGGCATGTACCCACACAGAGAGGAGGCATGTACCTACACACACACACAGAGAAGACATGTACACACACACAGAGAGAGAAGACATGTACACACACACAGAGAAGACATGTACACACACAGAGAGAAGGCATGTACCCACACAGAGAGAGAAGACATGTACACAGAGAGAGAGAAGACATGTACACACACACAGAGAAGACATGTACCCACACACAGAGAGAGAGAAGGCATGTACCAACACACACACAGAGAAGGCATGTACCCACACAGAGAGGAGGCATGTACCCACACGCACACATAGAAGGCATGTACCCACACACACACAGAGAAGGCATGTACCCACACACACACAGGGGAGGCATGTACCCACACACACAGAGAGGAGGCATGTACCCACACACACAGAGAGAAGGCATGTACCCACACACACACAAGGCATGCACCCACACACACACACAGAGAGAAGGCATGTACCCACACACACACACAGAGAAGGCATGTACCCACACACACACAGAGAAGGCATGTACCCCCACACACAGAGAGAGAAGGCATGTACCCACACACACAGAGAAGGCATGTACCTACAAACGCACAGAGAGAAGGCATGTGCCCCCACACACAGAGAGGGAGAGAAGGCATGTACCCACACACACAGAGAAGGTATGTACCCACACACAGAGATAAGGCATGTACCCACACACTCACACAGATAAGGCATGTACCCACACACACAGAGAAGGAATGTACCCACACACACAGAGAGATAAGGCATGTACCCACACACACAGAGACAGAAGGCATGTACCCCCCACACACAGAGAGAAGGCATGTACCCACACACACAAAGAAGGCATGTACCCTGTTGCGTATCAATGCGTTCTGTCGTCACAAACGCCTCCTCCCCCCCCCCCCCCCCAACACCTCCGATGAGCACGGTTGGCTAACGTACGGTGCGAAAGAAGTTCGACATCCTGTACGTACAAACGTACAGACGTCCTTCCACCCCCCCCCCCCCGCCCCCTGACGCACTTTCAAAAATGTTCCTGCACGGTATCCATGCCGCAGCCTGCATCCTTCCCCCCACCCTCAAAGACTTTCGCACGACCGCCCCCCAGCGCGGGCTCGTTATATACTCATCTATCTACAACATACACATATTGTCTAGTTATATACTCATCTATCTACAACATACACATATTGTCTAGTTATATTCTCATCTATCTACAACATACACATATTGTCTAGTTATATACTCATCTATCTACAACATACACAGATTGTCTAGTTATATACTCATCTATCTACAACATACACAGATTGTCTAGTTATATACTCATCTATCTACAACATACACAGATTGTCTAGTTATATACTCATCTATCTACAACATACACATATTGTCTAGTTATATACTCATCTATCTACAACATACACGTACACATATTGTCTAGTTATATACTCATCTATCTACAACATACACAGATTGTCTAGTTATATACTCATCTATCTACAACATACACATACACATATTGTCTAGTTATATACTCATCTATCTACAACATACACAGATTGTCTCGTTATATACTCATCTATCTACAACATACACATACACAGATTGTCTAGTTATATACTCATCTATCTACAACATACACATACACAGATTGTCTAGTTATATACTCATCTATCTACAACATACACATATTGTCTAGTTATATACTCATCTATCTACAACATACATGTACACATATTGTCTAGTTATATACTCATCTATCTACAACATACACAGATTGTCTAGTTATATACTCATCTATCTACAACATACACATACACATATTGTCTAGTTATATACTCATCTATCTACAACATACACAGATTGTCTCGTTATATACTCATCTATCTACAACATACACATACACAGTTTGTCTAGTTATATACTCATCTATCTACAACATACACATACACAGATTGTCTCGTTATATACTCATCTATCTACAACATTCACATATTGTCTAGTTATATACTCATCTATCTACAACATACACAGATTGTATAGTTACATACTCATCTATCTACAACATACACATATTGTCTAGTTATATACTCATCTATCTACAACATTCACATACACAGATTGTCTAGTTATATACTCATCTATCTACAACATACACATATTGTCTAGTTATATACTCATCTATCTACAACATTCACATACACAGATTGTCTAGTTATATACTCATCTATCTACAACATACACATATTGTCTCGTTATATACTCATCTATCTACAATATACACATACACAGATTGTCTAGTTATATACTCATCTATCTACAACATACACATATTGTCTCGTTATATACTCATCTATCTACAACATACACATATTGTCTCGTTATATACTCATCTATCTACAACATACACAGATTGTCTAGTTATATACTCATCTATCTACAACATACACATACACATATTGTCTAGTTATATACTCATCTATCTACAACATACACAGATTGTCTAGTTATATACTCATCTATCTACAACATACACATATTGTCTCGTTATATACTCATCTATCTACAACATACACATACACATATTGTCTAGTTATATACTCATCTATCTACAACATACACAGATTGTCTCGTTATATACTCATCTATCTACAACATACACATACACAGATTGTCTAGTTATATACTCATCTATCTACAACATACACATATTATCTCGTTATATACTCATCTATCTACTACATACACATATTGTCTAGTTATATACTCATCTATCTACAACATACACAGATTGTCTAGTTATATACTCATCTATCTACAACATACACAGATTGTCTAGTTATATACTCATCTATCTACAACATTCACATACACAGATTGTCTAGTTATATACTCATCTATCTACAACATACACATATTATCTCGTTATATACTCATCTATCTACTACATACACATATTGTCTAGTTATATACTCATCTATCTACAACATACACAGATTGTCTAGTTATATACTCATCTATCTACAACATTCACATACACAGATTGTCTAGTTATATACTCATCTATCTACAACATACACATATTGTCTAGTTATATACTCATCTATCTACAACATACACATATTGTCTAGTTATATACTCATCTATCTACAACATTCACGTAAAAAGATTGTCTCTACGCCCGTCACGTTCCATAACCGCGGGGTTCCCCTGAGCGGGCGGCGAGGCGGGGGGCCCCCCCGACCCCCCCCCCCCATATCCCTCCCCCCCCCCCATCTGGCGTGCGACTTACACCGCTGTGTAGAGCTCGTTGCATGCCATGGCCACGGCCGCGCGGTCCACGGTGTGCAGGATGAACGTGGCGATCTGAAACCCACGGGAGAGGGCGCGGTTACGGTGGCGGGCGAGGTCTCACGTCGAGCGGTACAAATCCACGAGAACACTTGACAACAACACAATCTCGATGTCAATTCACATCGAAAACCCGTCCGGATTCACGTCGGAAAGATGCGTCGTAAATCGGTCCACGGTGGCATTGTATGAACGTCGTGAATGCCTTTGCTATAATTCATGTTGTGCCCATGCTGCTGGGCAGGTGTTGCCGTGAGGCCAGGTGTGGTGAGACCTGCAGGTGAAGGTTGGGCACCAGGCTCGTGATGCCGAACGCCAGCAGCAGCACACTGGTCGTGAAGAAGACGCACATCGCTCTGCGCACCTTGGTGATCTTCCTGGACAGATCCCGCTCCTCCTCGCTGCACGACACGGTCACGGCCTCCGTTAGCGGTCCGTCCGCGTGGCCGGGGTGGTGACACTGGGGCGGTGGCACTGGGCGGTGTGACTGGGGCGGTGGCACTGGGCGGTGACACTGGGGTGGTGGCACTGGGGCGGTGACACTGAGCGGTGTGACTGGGGCGGTGACACTGTGGTGGTGGCACTGGGCGGTGACACTGGGCGGTGACACTGGGCGGTGGCACTGGGCGGTGACACTGGGTGGTGGCACTGGGTGGTGACACTGAGCGGTGGCACTGGGCGGTGGCACTGGGCGGTGACACTGCGCGGTGTGACTGGGGCGATGACACTGAGCGGTGGCACTGGGGCGGTGACACTGGGATGGTGGCACTGGGCGGTGACACTGGGGCGGTGGCACGGGGACGGTGGCACTGGGCGGTGGCACTGGGCGGTGGCACTGGGCGGTGATACTGGGATGGTGGCACGGGGCGGTGGCACTGAGCGGTGACATTGGGGCGATGACACTGGGGCGGTGGTACTGGGCGGTGGCACTGGGGCGGTGGCACTGGGCGGTGGCACTGGGGCGGTGGCACTGGGCGGTGGCACTGGGGCGGTGGCACTGGGGCGGTGGCACTGGGCGGTGGCACTGGGGCGGTGGCACTGGGCGGTGCCACTGGGGCGGTGGCACTGGGCGGTGACACTGGGCGGTGGCACTGAGCGGTGTGACTGGGGCGGTGACACTGGGCGGTGCCACTGGGCGGTGGCACTGGGCGAACCGACCCTACCTTTCAGCGACGGCCGGGTCGGCCCTGGAGGCAGCTGTCTCCCGCATGAGCAGGTGACCCAGCAGAGGGCACACGAGCAGGCAGAGCGGCTGCAGCAGCCCAAACACCGTCACGTAGAGCTCCGTGTCTGTGAGCGGCCACGCCGCACGACAAAGACAAAAATCCCCACCGCCACCAGTATAGCCTTCAACGGGCTGTCAGGGCAAGTGCCGCTAGCGAGCACCTAGTACCATACTACTACTATTTTTATTTTTACCAGGTAAGGCCCCACTGAGCGATGTAGCTCTTTTTCAGAAGCGACCTGGCTATCACAAATGACAGCTCAACGAAGTGGGCTTATCATCATCATCGTCACGTGCACATTTAAAGCAGCCAAATGGTCTATCTAAATGGGTGACGTTGATTCTAAATGTGGAGGGGAAAACCCAGAAGACCATCACGGGGGGAGAGACACGCAAACTCCAAATATACAGCAGTAGGCTCAAACCCACGACCTCCTGCACACCAGGCGAGGTAGTTACCATCTCCTAGCCACCTCGGCTTGAATTTCTCAGACATCTCTGCCTCAAGAAAACACTCACATTGGTTTTGTCTTTGTATTGCTTTTTGTAACTTGCTGACCCGCCCCTAGAGGACATCTGTGAAAAAGAGCTTCATAGCTCATCGGATTTCTCCTGCAATCTAGATAAAGATTCTGATTCGGGGGGGGGGGGGGGGGTGGGGAGTTAAAATTCCTATTATATAAAAAGTGTATTGGGTCCCACGAATGCATTGCTTGTGCATTTTCCCCCGAAATGCAACGTGCCAGCAACGTATTGTCATTTTGACTTCAGTAAAAATGAGTTTATTCGGAAGTAATAAACTCATTCATCTCAACCGCGGTTGAGACATTTGTCACCGATGTTGGCCGTGAGCGGCAATCAAACTCGGAGGGCCACCGACTTCGAAGGGCGGTAGCGCTAACCGCTGCGCCACCGCTCCCCGGCACGCTCGGAGTCACGCGGCTCTCTCACCCGCGGGCCCTCCGGGCAGGAGGCTGCCCAGCGAGCCCAGGTAGAAGGTCAGGTGCAGCTGGGTCACGGCCATCGTGACCATGCTCCACAGCATCACGGGGGTGAAGATGCTCCTCATGAACGCCAGGCTGCCTGCGGACGCACGACAAAGACAAAGATCCCCCGTGTAGCCTTACAACGGACTGTTGGGGCGAGCGCTGTTAGCGCGCGCCTATGAAGGCCGCCACGGCACACGAGAGAGTGGGTGGCCAGCACCACGCCCGGCCGCCTTTGTCTCCCCAGTGGCGATGTCTACCACACACCGCACCAGCTACTCATTTGAGGTTGAGTCGACGTAGGGGAGGCCCAGGACCGGTTCAGATAATCGTCACCGGTGTTGGCGGCCATGAGCGGGAATCGAACTTGGGTGGCCGGGTTTCATAGCTACATCTACACAACGCCCGGGCACGTGTACATATAGCTTCTGAAAGTTGAAGCTTGTACCTGGTAAAATGAAAATAAAATAGTTTAGAGAGAATCACCCCTGCCAGAGGAATGAGGAATTTCCACTACCGGCTCCGGGGGGGGGGGGGGGGGGGTGGGGGTAGGGGTGTTGGCTGTTAAACCGGACATCACTTTGAGTTACGAAAAAAAAGTTTAAACATCTTCTTGAACGCGATAATTATTTACGGGGGAGCAACGCACGCTCGGTGGAGGTGCGGTCAGCGGACTGCAGCAGGGAGTGCTGCTCGCGAAGGTCGGGCCGCAGACGGTAGCCCATGGCGGCCATCTGAGCGTAGAACTCCTTGCCCTGCGTGCCACGCTGCGAGCCGCGAAAACTCAGCTTCAGTCGGATGCTGCACGCGGGGGCACGCGCACACACGGGTATAACAAAAAAAACAAAGATACAAAGATCCCCCGTGTAACCTGTAACAGACTGTAGGGGCAAGTGCTGTTAGCGAGCACCTATGAAGGCCGGCACGGCACACGAGGTTGTGGGTGGCCAGCAGCACGGCCGGCCGCCTTTGTCAGCAGCGTCCTGCTGCATTTAAAACTCACACGAGGGAGGGGGCAACACTCTATCCCCGCACCAATGGAAACAGGTGGCGATTAGCCCGCTCGCTGGACGGGGAAGCCAGGGGTTCGGCTCCACCGCGATGAACCACGGGAAGGGAGATTTTTCAACATTCATGCGGTGATCCGCCACCGCTCGCTGCCTCCGCAGTGCTGGATTGGAGGCCATTTGCATGGCGGAGCGTAACCGCCGGCCACTGGCTGGCTGATGTTTGTTATTGCTGTTTGTTATTGCTGTTTGTTGACGATCGACGCGGGTCTACTCACGAGTGGTTCATGTGCGCGGGGCCCGTCATGGCTTCCTCGGGCCAGCCGAACATGGCGTTGAGGAAGATGACCACGGCCAGCAGGGCCCAGCCCAGGCAGATGTAGATGAAGGGGACCCCGGCCTCGTACATGACCTGCGGCGTGAGCAACGCGGACGACTCTCGTCACCCTCCCTGCCTCTCCTCTCCCCGGACGTGCAGAGAGGCACAGCGGCACCTCCTCGCACTCCGGTCCCCTGCGACAAACCCGAGGCTCGACGGAACTGGCCCAACGCTCCGGAGCGTGAACCTCCTGGAAAGAACGCGTCTTCGGCCGAGCCGTCGGACAAAGACGGCGGTCGCCGCACTGCGCGGCGCTTCCGGACGCGCTTCTGCGGCCGTCTGGAACGCGCTCTTCCTTCCGATATTATAATGGCACTGGAGCTATGCATTTTTAAATCATAATCTTCTCGATTGACAAACTAATTTCTCTGCAACTGCTTTTTGTGTGTCAGTTTGTTGTCCTTCCCCCGTACCTCCGATGAGCGCAGTTGGCTACGTCCGGCGTGAAAGAAGTTCAACACACTTGTACATATACTACACTACTATACACGACACCATACACACTCCACTACAATACACCACTATACTACATTGAAAACGAATTTCTTTAGAACTAAATATTGTCTTTAGCTTGTTGTCCTTCCCCCGCACGTCCGATTATCACGGTTGGCTAGGTAGGGTGCTAAAGAAGTTCAACATTCATACGTGCATAACTCCGATTAGCGCGGCCGGCGACATACAGTAGATGCATCCATACGCAGTGACCGGGACAAGTGTGGGATCGGAACCGCGAACCTCTGCGACAAGCGCGCGGACGTACCACCGACATGGCCGGCGTGCCACCCACCACGTGACGAGATCTCAGGGCGTGCCACCCACCACGTGACGAGATCTCAGGGCGTGCCACCCACCACGTGACGAGATCTCAGGGCGTGCCACCCACCACGTGACGAGATCTCACGGCGTGCCACCCACCACGTGACGAGATCTCAGGGCGTGCCACCCACCACGTGACGAGATCTCAGGGCGTGCCACCCACCACGTGACGAGATCGCACGGCGTGCCACCCACCACGTGACGAGATCTCAGGGCGTGCCACCCACCGCGTGACGAGATCTCAGGGCGTGCCACCCACCACGTGACGAGATCTCACGGCGTGCCACCCACCACGTGACGAGATCTCAGGGCGTGCCACCCACCACGTGACGAGATCTCAGGGCGTGCCACCCACCACGTGACGAGATCTCACGGCGTGCCACCCACCACGTGACGAGATCTCAGGGCGTGCCACCCACCACATGACGAGATCTCAGGGCGTGCCACCCACCACGTGACGAGATCTCAGGGTGTGCCACCCACCACGTGACGAGATCTCGCGGCGTGCCACCCACCACGTGACGAGATCTCAGGGTGTGCCACCCACCACGTGACGAGATCTCGCGGCGTGCCACCCACCACGTGACGAGATCTCATGGCGTGCCACCCACCACGTCACGAGATCTCAGGGTGCTAACCTCACAAGCGCGAACCACGATAGGCAGACGGTCGTGTGTGTGTGTGAGATGAGCCGTGTGTGTGTGTGTGTGAGATGAGCCGTGTGTGTGTGTGTGAGATAAGCTGTGTGTGTGTGTATGAGATGAGCCGTGTGTGTGTGTGTGAGATGAGCCGTGTGTGTGTGTGTGTGACCGTGTGTGTGTGTGACCGTGTGTGTGTGTGTGACCGTGTGTGTGATGAGCCGTGTGTGTGTGACCGTGTGTGTGTGTGACCGTGTGTGTGTGTGACCGTGTGTGTGTGTGTGACCGTGTGTGTGTGTGTGACCGTGTGTGTGTGACCGTGTGTGTGTGTGACCGTGTGTGTGTGTGACCGTGTGTGTGTGTGACCGTGTGTGTGTGTGTGTGTGACCGTGTGTGTGTGTGTGACTGTGTGTGTGTGACCGTGTGTGTGTGACCGTGTATGTGTGTGTGTGACCGTGTATGTGTGTGTGTGTGACCGTGTGTGTGTGTGTGACCGTGTGTGTGTGTGACCGTGTGTGTGTGTGTGACCGTGTGTGTGTGTGTGTCCGTGTGTGTGTGTGTGACCGTGTGTGTGCGTGTGTGACTGTGTGTGTGTGACCGTGTGTGTGTAACCGTGTATGTGTGTGTGTGACCGTGTGTGTGTGTGACCGTGTGTGTGTGTGTGACCGTGTGTGTGTGTGACTGTGTGTGTGTGTGACTGTGTGTGTGTGACCGTGTGTGTGTGTGTGACCGTGTGTGTGTGTGTGACCGTGTGTGTGTGTGTGTGACTGTGTGTGTGACCGTGTGTGTGTGACCGTGTGTGTGTGTGTGTGACCGTGTGTGTGTGACCGTGTGTGTGTGTGACTGTGTGTGTGACCGTGTGTGTGTGACCGTGTGTGTGTGACCGTGTGTGTGTGACCGTGTGTGTGTGTGTGACCGTGTGTGTGTGTGCTCGTGTGTGTGTGTGTGTGACTGTGTGTGTGTGACCGTGTGTGTGTGTGTGACCGTGTGTGTGTGTGTGACCGTGTGTGTGTGTGACTGTGTGTGTGACCGTGTGTGTGTGACCGTGTGTGTGTGTGTGTGACCGTGTGTGTGTGACCGTGTGTGTGTGTGTGTGACCGTGTGTGTGTGTGTGCGATGAGCCGTGTGTGTGTGTGACCGTGTGTGTGTGTGCTCGTGTCGCCAGGTGTGCCCCCACCTTGAGGATGGTCATGGTGAAGGCTGCCGAGCAGAAGGAACCCAGCAAAAGGGCGGAGAACACGTTGGATATCGTCTGGAACATTTCAGCCAGCTGGGGAGGGGGCACACGGTTACACACACACGGCCACACACACACACACACGGTCACACATACACACACACGGTCACACATACACACACGCACGGTCACACACACATACACACGGTCACACACACACGGTCACACACACACACACACGGTCACACACACACACATGGTCACACACACAGTCACACAAAAATACAAAGATCCCCTGTATAGCCTTAACAGACGATAGGATCAAGTGCTGCTAGCGAGCACCTATGAAGGCCGGAAAGGTACACGAGGGGGTGGGTGGCCAGCACCACGTCCGACCGCCTTTGTCTCCCTAGCGGCCATGTTTACACACCGCACCAGGTACTCATTTGAGGCTGAGTCGACCTAGGGGAGGCCCGGGACCGGTTTAGATAATCGTCACTGGTGTTGACCATGAGCGGGAATTGAACCCGTGTCGCCGGGTTCATAGCGCAGCACGCTAACCGCTACACCCACCGCTCCCCACTATGGATACATACACACACAGGTACACACGCTATCACTTGTGATGGCCAGGTCGCGTCTGTAAAAATAACTCTGTAGCTACTCGGTAAAATAAAAAATGACGTGTTGAGTTTATAGTTTTATAGTTCAGAGGCGACGGGTACAAGAAAGGACGGAGGACTCCGTCGGCGACGTGAGTGTGGGTCGAGGCGACGTGAGTGGAGGTCGAGGTGATGTGAGTGGAGGTCGAGGCGACATGAGTGCAGGTCGAGGCCACGTGAGTGGAGGTCGAGGCCACGTGAGTGCAGGTCGAGGCGACGTGAGTGCAGGTCGAGGCCACGTGAGTGGAGGTCGAGGTGACGTGAGTGGAGGTCGAGGCCAGGTGAGTGGAGGTCGAGGTGACGTGAGTGCAGGTCGAGGCGACGTGAGTGCAGGTCGAGGCGACGTGAATGCAGGTCGAGGCCACGTGAGTGGAGGTCGAGGCCACGTGAGTGCAGGTCGAGGCGACGTGAGTGGAGGTCGAGGCGACGTGAGTGGAGGTCGAGGCCACGTGAGTGCAGGTCGAGGTGACGTGAGTGGAGGTCGAGGCGACGGTAATCGCGTCGCAGTGTTCACAAAGCGACGACGCATTTGCGATACGACGGAGATAGCGCCGTCGACACCGCGACCCCCAGGTCGGCCGATTCTCGCGTTGCCCAAATCCCCCGCCCCGTCGACGTGACGGGCTGCGGACGCAGCGACGCAGCGACGCAGCGACGCAGCGACGCGACAACGATCGCCCGCTCACCATCTGGCCCGAGACGTTGATGCACATCCCTCCGAATCCGTTGAGCGACACGGCGACGAACACGAGCGTGGAGAGATCTGCACGCACGCACGCACGCACGCGAACGTCACCGTGCGCCCCGCTAGTCCGTGCCCATCGCGCGCGTGCAGTCAAAGCCGTCGTCGTGAGTTGGCCGAATCGCCTTTCGAAGCGAGCCGCGTGGCTCAAAGCGCGTAGGCTCGGCGGGGCGGCGAGCCCGCTCTCTGCCCCGCTTCCAACCCGGGTCTCCGGGACTGAGGTCCCGCGGATGTTTTGTTTGTTGTTGTTTTTGTTTGTCGTGCTTGAGCACCATTGCCAACGCAAAAGTGGCAGCAGCAGCAGCGGCGGCGGCGGCGGCGGCGACGCCACCAAGTAATTTGTTCGTGAAAAGATAATCGTAATAAAGGTTTTTTTTTGGGTTAGATCGCGTTTATTTATAAATGTGTCGCAACCCTCCACCACCCGACACGGCCAATCAGCAAAGAAAAGTGTCACGTTGACAAAAGACAAATAATTCACCACTTCAGCCCACCGGTGTGTTGAAGAGTTAATCCACATTTACAGTTTGAGTACGACGTTTCGCTGGTAAATACTTCCAGCATCATCGGGCAATTCGCCAGAATGGTAAAGCCCTCGCTTGCTCCCGGTTTTATATAGAGCAGAAGAGTGACGTCATCACTTAACTCATCAGGTGCAGTGATTAGAGGCGGAGGGGGGGGTAATGTAATTATATAATCGATTAGTAATCAGTCATTGGTTATGATTAGTAATGAGTTGTAGATTAGTAATTCTTTAAATCAAAATGTAATGTGTATTATTTAATAATACGCTTCCAGGCCGCACTGAGCCGGTAGCTGTCAGAGCGATTAAAGTTATTCTTGTTCCTCTCAATTTCAATGGATTCTCTAATTAGTCTTTGCCAGTAATAATTAGTTTTACACACCACTGCAACATTGTCAAAATCAATTGAGTGTCCTTGTTGACAAGCATGTTCTGCCACTGCCGACAGTTGTGTTTGAGATAATTTAATATTTCTCTGATGTTCTTTTAGTCTTACGCTGATGTTACGTCCCGTCTGCCCAATGTAGCAGCTGCCACATGAACAATTAATCCGATATACACCTTCTGTTGATAGTTTAGGTAATGCGTCTTTAGTGCAAGATACTAGTTTTTGAATTTTGTGTACTGTACCAAATCTTACTGTAATGTTTTGCTTTTGCAAAACGCGGGCTAATTTGTCAGTTACTCCTGAGATATATGGAATTTTTATTGTTTTAACAATCTGGTCGCTTTCAGTAGTATTGCTTTGCGATCGTGATTTGGCATTCAGTGCTCTGTTAATTTGAGCATTATTGTAGCCATTCTGTCGTAGTGCGTCTTTAACGTGTTTAATCTCTCTCACTAGACTCTCACCATCTGACACTGTTTTCGCCCGATGCACGAGCGTCTTAATAAGAGAGGATTTTTGAGCTGGATGATGATGTGATTCTGCATTCAGATAGGCATCAGTGTGCGTTTGCTTTCTGTAAACGCTGTGTGTTATTTTACCGTTTAGGCCATGTCCAAGCAAAATATCTAGGAATGGGAGTGTATTATTCACCTCCATTTCCATGGTGAACTGGATGGCCGGGTTTTGTGCATTGAGATGATTTAGAAAATCATTAAGTGTATCTTTACCATGTGGCCAGACAACCAAAGTGTCATCCACATACCTAAACCAAAAGGATGGTTTTAATGTGCTCGAGGCAAGTGCTCTTATTTCAAAGTTTTCCATGTACAAATTTGCTATAGCAGGGGATAAAGGAGAACCCATTGCTGCTCCTTCCTTTTGTTTAAAGAAATCCCCTCTCCATAAGAAGTAAGTGTTATTTAAGCAATGGCCAGCAAGTTTCGGAATATCTTTTTGTAAACCGGTATTCTTTACTAGTGTATCAAGTAATTTAAGCGATTCGTCCACTGGAACCTTAGTGAATAGAGAAATCACATCAAAGCTTACCAGAATATCATCAGGAGTAAGTTTAATATCTTTAATCACATTCACAAGATGTTCTGAATTTTTTATAAATGAAGATGTCTTACCGATGTAGGGCTGTATTTGTTTGGTTATATATTTTGCTAATTGATATGTGGCAGAGCCAATTGTACTGACTATGGGTCGTAATGGGATGCCGATTTTATGAATCTTTGGTAGCCCATAGAGTCTAGGTGGTTTTGAGGCCCTTGGCTTAATTAGGTATTGCTCATTTTTAGGGATTAATGAATTTGCAATTATTGCAGTGGTCTTACGTTCTAAAGTATTAGTTGGATCTCGTTTAATTTTAATGTAGGTACTTTCCTCTAGTAAATTTCTAATTTTATTATCATAATCGGCTCGTGACATCAGTACAGTAGTGCGGCCTTTATCAGCTGCTAGGATTTGGATATCCTTATTTACACGCAGCTCTCTTAAGGCTTTTGCCTCGTTAGAGCTAATATTTACTTTTGGAACTTTGCTATTCTCAATTATTTTAGCAACCTCATGTCTAGTCATCTCTGCCTCATTATGTGGAAGGAGTCTAACTGCTGATTCTACCTCAGCAATTATCTCATCCACTGGAATTGTGCGTGGGGTAACGGCAAAGTTAAGGCCTTTAGAAAGGATAGAGACCATGTCACCGGTTAATACAGTGTTGGTCAAGTTCAGTACAGTTTTGTTTTTACATTTTTGGTTTTCAGTAGGGATTTGTTTATTATGTAGTCTAGAAAATTTATTAATTTGGTTAGTTTTTGTTAGTTTAAACACATTATCAGCCGATTGTTGTGTTATGTTATCGATTATATTCCAATAATGCATAGATACACTATTGCTTATATCTAAGTGTAACTGCTTTAGCGATTCCGAAATGTAAGATAATTCACTCCTATTGTGCTGTATTCTCTCTATTAATAATAATTCGCTAGCTTTGTGTAGTATTTGGTTAGCTTTAGAAGACTTTATGTGATGTGTTATTTTAACTGCGTTTGGTATTACCTTTGAATCTCTGCACCTTTTGAGGAACGCCAGTGAAGATATCAATTTCATCCGCTTAATGCGAAGCTTCTCCAATTTTCTGGTTTTAAGAAAAGTATCCTCCCCATAGAGGTTAGTCAGTTTAACACGTAGGCTTTCGCGACCAATATTATTCATAATAAAGGTTTTTTGGGTTAGATCGCGTTTATTTTAAGGATCTTAAAGTTATGTGAAAACCCTCCCCGTAGAGGCGATTAAATTTTGATTTAAAGCTTTCGTGACTGCAGGCCACCAAGATTATACGGCTTACCAAAAATACATAAAGTTGATACACCTCTTCGTCCCATAGTCTCTACTATCAGCTCCCCCACCTACAAACTAGCTCGTTTTTTGTCTGAAATCCTGCGTCCTTTCACTGGAAAGACCACCTCTGCGGTACAAAATTCTACTCACCTGGTATCAACAATCAAGGGTATTTCCCTGTCCCCAGACGACCTGCTTGTCAGTTTTGATGTAGTTTCCTTATTCACCAAGGTTCCTGTACCTGACACCATTGCAATCATTGAAGACTTGGTTCATCAAGGACTAAACACTGAGGTACCCCCCCTGGTGAGACACTGTTTAACCAATACATACTTCACTTGGAATGGAACTTTCTACAAACAAACTGAGGGCACCCCAATGGGCTCCCCCCTTTCTCCAGTTATAGCTAACATTTTCATGGAGAAATTTGAGACTGACGCCATCCAGACTGCCACTCTGCGCCCAACCTTATGGAAGAGGTACGTGGATGACACTTTTGTCATCTGGCCACATGGCCGGCCTGCTCTAGACCAATTCTTCGACCACATCAATTCCATACACCCAGCCATCAGATTTACCATGGAAGTCGAAATAGATGGCAAGATACCTTTTTTGGATGTCCTAATTAAAAAGAGACCTGATGGTTCAATGAGCCACTCTGTCTACAGGAAAGCTACCCATACGGATGCTTATCTGAAACCGGATTCCCACCACCATCCATCACAGAAGAATTCTCTCATCAAGACTCTGTATCATAGAGCCCAATGCATATCCGACCAGGAACACATAAGCAGTGAACTCAAGCACGTACACCAAGCTCTTAGGGCTAATGGTTACTCCGACTATACAATCCGCAAAGCTATCACTCAAACCATGAAGAAGAACCCTCTTGAGGAGCCTTTCAAAACCATCACTTTACCCTACATTGCTGGGATCACAAAAAAGATCTCCAAAATCTTGAATAAACACAAGATCCAGGTCCGTTTCAACACATTACATAAAATCCGTGATCTGGTTCCGTCTGTAAAAGATGTGATTCCGGACATACAATACCCTGGTGTCTACAAACTAAGTTGCCTCTGTGGTAGTAGTTACATTGGAGAAACCAAACGCCATATCTCGGACCGCATTCGTGAACATAAAGCAGACCTTAAACACGGTAGGACCAACACCTCGGCCGTAGCAGATCATTGTTCTAATTCAGTAGGCTCACATGCCATTGACTTTTCCAAGACGGAGGTTCTTTGTAAGCCATCTGGCTTCCATGAGAGATTCGTTCATGAGGCTATCCACATATACAAACACAGAGACAATTTCAACCGAGAAGATGGATTCTATCTTAGCAATCATTGGAAAGATTTGATAAATCATTTCAGTTCTTGATTGATTGTTCACGCTTACAGTGCCTTTCAGACAGCATACATAAAAACAAATTTCGTCTCCCCCCTCCTCTTTTCAAAAAATAGATGGACTAGTCCTGGCAAACAGCCAATCGTTGCGCGTGACGCAAACGTTATTTTTATATATAAATAAATAAATATGCCGTTTTCAAAATAAATTTATGCAAACCGACACACCTGATGATGACCGTTTGAGTTATGGTCGAAACGTCGTGAGAATTTTTTTATTGTTTTATATATATTTTGTTATTTTGTTGTTTCTCTTCAACGTGACTTTACCGAAAAAACTAAGAATATAATATATAGATTAGTTTATGAATAGTTTTAGTTTGAATGCAATCCAATGCAGTGTCCATTGACTGTTGCGTCACTATTCACCGGGCTTAGAGCACGTGGTCACTTTCCGGATGTGCGTCACGATGACGTCACCAGCGCGTAATCATTCCGGGACCCACCTAGTGGCGAGCACTCGCGCGCTCCGAAGCTCCTCAGACATTTACGTTTAATTTAACATTTTAACGTAAATATTCGACAATTTTTTATATTTTCTTATTCTCATCAAGCAAGTGTGGGTTTTCCTCACAATTTCGGAAGGAAAGCAGGACGCTTTTGTGAAAAGTATCCGAGACTCTGAGGTGAGTGATAATTTGCGACCTGAGGCAGGCTGCTAGGATATTGAATATAACTAAAAAATAATGTATATTTGATTTGAAAACGTATTTTTCAACAAAGTACACGTTTTTTATGGTCTCCATAGGGCCTTGGGGTACAATGATGTTGATGATGGTCGCTTTGATTGTTGATTGTTGGAAAGGTTTTTATTTTGGTGATGACGAGTGTTCAAAGTGGTGGTGGTGGTGGTTGTGGTGTAGGCGGCGATGGGGGGTGGCGAGCGGTGGGACACCGGTTAGGGGACATCCATTTAGTAGGTTCACAAAAATCTGTCAAAACTTGAACCCTCCCCTCCTCCCAATACGCAAGCGTACGCATTTGGGTTAAGGGGCCGTCCATAAATGACGTCACGCACCTGGGGGGGGGCGGTGAGAGACATTTGTGACGATGTGTGACGAAGGGGGGGGGGTGTTGAGAAATGTGACGTCACATCAAAATTCGCAACTTTAAATAAATATAGACAACACTTTCTACTTAAATTTTTATTTAAAGCTTTCGTGACTGCAAGGATTCATATTCTATATTCTTGGTTCTTTCGGTAAAGTCACGTAGAAGGGAAAGAATAAAATAATACAAAATATTGTTTTATATTTTTATTATTTTATTGTTTCCCTTCTACATGTCTTTACCGAAAGAACCAAGAATACGTTCTACTTAATTAAATAGACTTTTTAATAAATGTTTTCTCCTACAACATCAGAGTGCAGCGCCACATTATATACGCACTTCAATGACAATAGTTTAAAGCGATTTGAAGCATGTTTTATATTTTTGGGGGGGGGGGCAGAGATTTGTGACGTCATATTTGAGAGGGGGGTCTGATTTTTTGTGACGCCGAGTGACTAGGGGGGGGGGGGGGTAAAAAATCGTCCAAAATCGCGTGGCGTCATTTATGGACGGCCCCTAACCCCCTCTCCCCCCTCCATGCGTACGTACCAAATGGATGACCCCTAAGCGCTACGCTGCACTTACAAACCCGGCGACCCGAGTTCGATTCCCATTTACGGCCACCAACAGCAGTGACGATTATCTGAACTGGTTCCGGACCTCCCCTAGGTCGAATCAGTCTCAAATGAGTACCCTGGTGCGGTGTGTAGTAAACATCGCCACTGGGGAGACAAAGGCGGCCGGGCGTGGTGCTGGCCACCCACCCCCTCGGGTGCCGTGCCAGCCTTCATAGGTGCGATTCGCTAACAGCACTTGCCCCTACAGTCTGTTAAGGCTACACGGGGGATCTTTGTCTTTTGGTATAATTGGTAGGGGTAGTGCTGGTGGTAAAAGAGATGATGAGGGTGATTACAATCATGGGGGCGCTAGTGATAGGTAGCTTTCGTGACATCGCTTATAATGATGGTCATGCTAATAGGTCACTGGTGCTGTACTGCACTGACGCTATTGTTGTTGTACTGTGTTGACACAATTAGTACACATTTTTGTTGCCTGTGAGGTTAATAGTGGTCATCCTATGTAAATTCTGAACCCGCCAAAGGAATGTGGAATTTATATTCAAAGGACATCCACTCCTAAGCTTTCTATGACGTGGTATATTATCAGCCCTAAGAGATAATGGGCTTAGATGACTGTCCATTGAGATTTGACCAAACAAAATGTTAATTGTAACTTAAACTTCAAGCGATAGCAAAACCTGTCCGAGATCTCTCCTTTGCTGACGAGTCTCAGTAGGCTCTCAGCTGGTTAAATAGTGAATATTGCACCTCCGATTATCACGGTTGGCTACTTACGGTGCGAAAGAAGTTCAACATACATACAGTACATATTTAAATGGGTTGGGATACTGTGCTTATTTGGATGAGGGGACACTGACATAATGTGTGCTGTTTTGACAGAACAATCCCTGGTTATGGCTGAAAACAAAGATACGAGTGTGCCTGGCCAGGTAAGTGTTTATACCTGATACCTGCTCACCTGATAGTGCAATGCTACAAACTCACATCTCAATACAATGACACAAACCCAATTGAGAGCATGTACACCAATAGATCACATCACACTATACACACACAGATACCGGTCGCTTCAAAGTAATGTACAATCACTGGTATTAGTTCGCCACAAGACAATGACACAAGCTCTCTGCACAGTACAGACACTATTACAATCTCTACAACAGAAAAAATAGTTCCAAGGCCAATAGATGGCCACATAAAACACATTAAGTGATCACCTGCCCTCTTAGCTCATACCATTTTAGATTACGAACTAAGGGAAATGCCACCTAAGTGTTTAAGCTGTCCACTTATAAAAAGTTATATATGTTACGTTTGTTTGCCCAGGTAAGGATCACCGAGTCTCACGACTCTTCGACAAGAGAGCCTTGCCATCATTTTCCCAGGAGGGTGGGAGGGGGGCGATGCTTGCTCTTATATTGTAGTTGTGTAATTTCATAGATTTGGATCACAACGCCAGCATCCAGTGGCCTACTCCTGCGAATGGCATCGCGGGATCTAGACGTGCACTCTGAAGCAGACGCGTATTTGTCCCATAAATTATATCAGGGCGGTCGCTCGAATTGAACCGTCAGCCTCTTCTGCAACAAGCGACGAACGCACGGCCACCAGGCCACGTTGCCGCGCCGGGAGTTGATCCTCCAGGCTTGATGGCCCACAACGCACGCTCGTGTGCGTCGCGTTGCACGTGACGAAGGTGTTATTCATATATCTGTGCGTTTGTGTTTCCACGTGTAATTCGTGTGCGACGAGCAGGCGTCGCCAATGGATGAAACTATCGTCTTCGCAGAGGCAGGGATGTGCTGCACGCCTGCCGGTACTGCTCCACTCACTACAGTATAATATTAGCGCCCGATTCACCACTATATCTGTGCATCTAACACACCTTCCAAAACGATCACCATGACCTCATGAACCTGTGATGTAATAGACCGAGTGTAAACCCATCACCTTGACCTCACGAGAATCGTGATGTGATAGACCGAGTATCTGTACACGGGCTCATTTCATTGCTCCATTCACATTCGGAATACTGTACTTTCCCAGATGTGTTGCTGATTTTGCTTCCACTCCATCGATATTCTCAACCATCCGCCATACGAGTTAATCCCTCAATTATTCTATACCTTTATAAAGAGCACAGTATAAGAGGTTAGGCTGAGCTCTTGTAAGTGATGCTTCCGTCCTTGATGCTTGCTCCATTTTACAAGTGTGCACGTGTGCCTGGTATGTACGTGCGTGCGCGCGCAGATGTCCTCGTGAAATTCCGAGAGAAGATGACGGAATTTGAGTGTGATGAGATCCTTACATACAAATGGATATATTATTTCAAGATGCGTAGTGCGACAGAAGGTGCCTCCAATATCGGCTACGATGATGAAAATAACCACTACATACCGGTACTACCCTTCAACATGTTCCACGTGCTCTGTAACCAGTTCACATCTCAATGCAAATGCGACAACCCTTACACACAACGCGCTTAATGGCGTTGCTAATGCTTGTCAGAGTGTTGACTACTGGAACGGTATAATGCAAATTGAGTCATTTGTGGGTATTTTTTATTTATTTGGCAACTTTGGACCCTGACACCTACCCTTTGCGTAATGACATCGTTCACTGTGAACCTGACAGCACGTGTAAAAAAAAATGGTTAGTGTACCAGCAGTAACAATCGGGACATCCTCGGTAATATTCAGGAAAAACAGATGATGAAGGTGGCGTTAATCGTGATCCTCAGTAACACGTGGCGAATGCGCTACCACCAGGCCACGCCACCACCCTGAACGTGTCCATTGAGGTGCGAGGTGGCTTTGATAAATCATGTCCGTCAATGCACTTATCTCGAATCTGTAAGGTCTTCGGTTTGAAACCAGCGAAGTCATCTGTGATAAAAACTAAATTCTTGTATAAAGCAGGATTGATGGCCTCAGCTGATCAGCAATGAATGCTGAATATGTGCCGGTTTTTTTTTCACTTTAGCCTTGCTCAGTTTGCAGGGCAAACAATGATACTCATTACGATTCATAATTGATTGATTTTGGGTGTATAAATGTGTGTCGTAAACCCTTCAGCCCACACCACCAATTCATAAAAGTGTCACGTGAATAAACTGCGCCAAATTCAGTTTTGTGATGAAATATTTTTTATTACGTTTCGTGATTTTAAACTATCATTTGTGTTATAACATTATAATTATTTATATTTGCACGCTATTCTCTCTGTTATCCCCTTTACACTTTCTCATTGATATAATGGATGGCTGCTACAATTTTACAAACCAATTGTGTTTCTTTACCTCAACCTTAAATCACAATGTGTATTTTGGGGGGTCCAAAATAAAAACTAACTAAAATCGTAGTTTTTGGATTGTTCTCATTATAAGCAATTACTCAGGGCTCTATGCCAAGGTCATTCACATTTCCCTCATTTCAGGTGGCCCTAATGGCCGCAATTTCTTTCAAGATGACAAATCTTTCTGCGCAACACTCGGGATCTTTTATGTAGCCTGAAAAATATTTATATATATGTCCCATCAAGTTTGGTTAAGGATTAAAGCTGCTACAGTGCTGATAGATGGATGGGCAAACAGAAATAGTGGTTCCAATACCATTCATAGATTTAATTGGAAATATAAACGTGAGCAGTGATTGAGCTCCGGTTAAATGAGTGCTAATTTGTTATTAAACTGACCAAACGATTGAACTGTGTGTCAACCAAACTCTTCTATTATGTTACAGGTCATCGATGAGCATCTGGCATATAGGTACCAAGTACTGAAGGTACTTGGAATAGGAGGTTATGGCCAGGTGCTCCAGTGCCTGGATCATAAAACGAAACAACAAGTGGCTCTTAAAATGTTCAAGCATGATTCAAGGTGAGTTTGGACAACAGCTACACGTATATCTGGATTTGTGAAGAGAAAAGTAACTTCTGAGAATACTAACTTGCGTTGTGTAGACTGTAAGTAGCATAGGCAATGCTGTATCATATAAATCGGTGGTTCTTAACCTTTACTGCAGCCTCATTTGATTCTCAATCGTGAAAAAAATATATAATGCTAATAGATACATAGGTTTGATGAAACAAAGTAGTTATACTTACGTGCCTGTGCTTAATTTGTGTTTCAAATAAATCTGGCATGTCCTGCACCCCCAGAAAGGACATCTCGCACGCCTAGAGGGTGCGTTTACCCCAGCTTAAGAGCCACTGATCTAAAAAGTGATCCGAATAGAATTATAGCTCAAACATCATTAGAAACTCTTTGTATTATGCGACCACCTTTTATATCTATGGTACCTGTATTTTTTTGGGAATTTCTATCTCAGGGCCTCCCCGATGGGGATGAGTGCTACCCAATTGAAAGTTTGAGCGGATACAGCGTTTTGACTTGGACTCGCTGATCCGATAGCATAACTGCCACCTTGCTGTGATGGGGGACTCGGTCACTCTCTCGTGTAACAACAAACTGACAACGTCTCTGCCAAACGACGTAAACCGGGATTGAGCGCTCGCAGCCTTGACTGATGCTCGATTGACTGAAGCATCTCGGGCCTTCACGCGTCACTCTGCCTTTTTGAATGTGCGAGCACTAAGCATGTGGTGAGACTCATTCGTGCTTTCTCTCCACAGCATCGTCCAAAATACGTACAACCCGGAGAGGGAAATCCTAAATGTCTTGAAGTCGGTGGACGGCAATAACATCATCAGACTCCTTCAAACCTTCAGATTCAGGGGCCACTATAATATGGTTCTTGAACTTGTCTTGTGAGTAGAATTTCATCCGTCTAAGCAGTTGCATTCGTGTGATTGTGCGCACTGGTCGCTTCCTTTCAATGCTTTATTGTTACTTTTGGTATCTCATGGAATATAAAACAATACACATGCAACTCCTTCTTTGCACGTAACTATTTTTGACACTTTTTTTGCTTTACTAGATGCCTTTGAGCTGCGTGGGCTTTTTAAAATATAGCAAATAAAAAAAAACCTCAAAAGTTTCTCCCGCCCCATATTTCCCCACACCAGTCATCGTGGTTTGAACTGATTGTTGTTGTTGTGTTTAGTTTGTTGTCCTTCTCCCGCACCTCTGATTAGCAAGGTTGGCTACGTACGATGCGAAAGAAGTTCAACATACAATATTTAAATTTTGATTTAAAGCTTTCGTGACTGCAGTAATTCATATTCTTATTCTTAGAGAAACAACGTGACTTTACCGAAAAAACTAAGAATATACAATATTTAGTTGGTTACAGCACATCAATAAAAAGGATTCTGCCTTTATTATCATTCATACTTATGGTAAACGGTAGCGCTTGTTTCGCTGTAAATGAAGTTGCTGCCGACCACTGGGCCGTATCTCATCAGCGTGTGGAATATTTGTGAAGAGCCACATTTTAAGGGGCGCCACGGTGGCGAGATGTTAACTACCTCGCCTGAGATACACGACATCGTGGGTTCGATCCCGACCTTGACGCGTGCTGTATATTTGGAGTTTGAATTTTTCTGTAGGTCCTCTGGTTTTTTTCTCCACATTTAGAAACATTATAATAAGTCACTTGGTAGCACTATCATTCGTGGCCAGGTCGCTTCTGAAAAAGAGCTATATAGCTCAGTGGGTCTTACCTGGTATAATAAAGAAATATTTTTTTGTTAAGCCAAGATCATATTCCCCTGGGAGAGATTACAATTGGATTTTGGTATCGGGAAAATCCCGAGCCGCAGTCAAACCGTGAGTCCTGTACATGGAGCCAACCCTACGCAGTGGCCATAAAGAATAAGGGACTTAACCGATAATATTGTGCTGTCTTGCAGAGGAGGAACCCTGAAAGAGGAACTCTCAATCACCTGCAAGGTTGATTTACCCAAAATCAGGCTCTACATGAGATCCATTCTGAAGGCCCTGGTGAAACTCAAGAGTGAGGCAATCATTCACGGAGATCTGAAGCTAGTAAGTGAATATCAACATCCTCCTGCTTCGTTCATGCATTCATTGATTTTCTGTTTGTATTGCCTATGAGGCAGTTGATGCCAAATACGACTCCCTCATGATTGAACGGTAAAGTATTAAAACTCTTTATCTATGAGACATGTCATGAAGTCATGAGGCAGCAACGGAAGGTGCCATTGCAGCATACTAACACTTGTTTGCAACAATCATGAACGTACACAAACATAAATATGTCTCTTTTTTTAAACATGTGCTTTTGAAATCCAAGAGTTCCTTTAATCTAGGATTTTATGTACATCTACTTGCTATAAACATTGGGATTATTGGAAGTTGCATTACAATGACAATGCTCAAAGCAATAACTCATAAAGGTTTTTAGGTTATATCGCATAAATATAAATATGTCGTTAACCCACCCTCCACCAGACAGCCAATTAGTAATGTTTGTCACATGAACAAAACGTGCCAATTAGTTACTACTTCAGCACACCGGTGAATATTAATTGCGAAAGCTTATGTGTTAAATTGAAGCAACAGCTGTGACTTGCAATGTTAAACAAAGTGTTGAATTGAGCAAAACAGATTCACGATATATATATAAAAAAAAATCAAACCTCGTTATTAAACGCGTTGCCGATTGGTGTGAGCACTGAAGTAGAGTGGCACACCCAGGACTGATTCTTAATGAGAGATCCTCCTTTGTCTTCTCCAGGAAAACATCCTCGTCAAAGACCATGACACCGGCGATGTCAGGCTCGCAGATTTTGGCCTCAGCGTTCGCGAGCGTCGCAATTGTAAGTGAGCTCGTCTGTAGGTGTGCGCTTGTTTTACATGTGTGTGTGTGTGTGGCACAGGTGGTGCATCGCCAGTCATCTCAGTCAGTCAACCCATGGCACCTGCAGGGTCTGTCCCGTGACCTGCTGCCAACGGGCGTTTGACACTTGACGTGGCCTTAAAGTGCACATAGCCTGGCACAAGCGCCGTGGTGATGTCACCGCCACTAAGTAGCTAATGGCAGTTGTTGTGCTTATTTGAGTGTGGGGGGGGATAGTGGTGGAACAGTGATTTGCACGACACCAAACTTCCAGTTGTCCAGTTTATTTCTTCGCTATGCACAACACTTGCAATTGGTATTGAATAGGTCTACCCTAAGTAAACTTGGAGCAGTAGCTGCTACAGTTCTGTGTGCTACACAATAGGTGCTCACAAACAATATTTGTTCTAACAGTGAAAGTATTTTTTTGTATATATATTTTTCTATATTCTGTTGTTTTGTTCTAGTTTATGTATGATTGTTTTATTTATCTACGTACATTTCTCTGCATGGTAAATTTCTGCCATTGCTGATCAGCTTTAGGCTGGACACGTGTGTTGAAGAGCTTCATCGCTCATCAGATTCTTTAGGCTTAAATATTTCGTCAATGTCTAAGCATGAGGTGGCACTCATGTCCGTTGTTGGTTCTGAGCCAATGGTGGAAATTCCACGTGCCTGTTGATGTGGATGTCTATTGCAATTACAAATTTTAACGTCCCCTTAAAAGAGTACAGTTTACCGCACCACGACCGGGTTTTTAACTTTAAATCTCCTAATGGAGTTGAGTGTTTCTAAACACAGCAACAATCGGTATGAGGTGAAATTAGATATTTTCCCTACGTACAACTACATGTATGTGTACTGTGCATACTTTATTTGGGTACACTTGAAAATGTAAGAAAGCGGTAATGCGATGTCCCACATGCACGATTGTGCCTGTCTCTTGTGTGCGCACGTGTTGCGAGTGGTGACGCAACCGTTAACACGCTGCGCTACAACGCCCATTGATCCATGTTCGATCTCCAGCCATGGCGAACATCGGTGGTAAATACATAGTGGATTCGAATTAGGTGCACACACAACTCCTTGGGAGGCAGCACTTATTTTATTAATGAACACAACAGTTAGCTCTTACGTTACGCATAGGGTGGTGACCACCGACCTACTCTAGCTAACACACACTTCTCAGATACTCTAGCGTGACCCAGCCAGGTGGGCTACTGGCAGGTCCGCTGACTGGAGGCTTGACTCTTCTTGGCGTCTTCACGATGCATCTTCGTTCTTGATACGGGCAGCAGCCTCGAACCTCCTGAGGAGGCTGCTTATATGGGCCTCGACGTGCCCGGGCCCCGCCCCGGCCACTCCTCCCTTCCAGAACCATCTCGAAGGCCCCCCCCTGCTGTCCATGTGCCACCCGAGGTGCCCCCTAGGCCCCCGGCCCCCGCTGGGGTCCACTCACATGTCCAGCCGGGGTCACAGAGAGTGCCACGACCTCACACCACCCTCGTGGCCTCCTGAGTCCAGAACCGGCCCTGACGTCATTCCCGCCTCCAGCCGGGATGACGTTATGTGTGTGTGTAGACCCGCGTGGTCGTGACGCATAGTGACGTCACACATGTGCGTGTGTACGCAGTAGTGATGCTACCATCACTACAAATATATGAACCGGTCCTGGGACACCCTTAGATCGACGCCAGCCTTAAACAAGCACCTGGTGTTGATAAATATCAGCCCTGGTAAGACGAAAGCAGCCAGACACGGTGTCTGGCCTCTAAAACCCACCTCAGATGCCGTGCTAACCGTAATAGGTGCTCGCTAACAGCGGCTACCCCACCAGTCTGTTAAAGCTGTCCGGAAGATGAACGTCTTTGTTTGTGTGTGGCGAGCAGTCTTCACGCACCGCGGCACCAAGGGTTACATGGCCCCGGAGATGTACCTCAATCTCCCGGTCACGTGCTCAGTGGACATGTGGTCCCTGGGTTGCATCGCAGCAGAGCTCGCCACCGGGAGCCGACTCTTCACGAAAAAGCAAATATATCATGTTGGGCGCATCATACAGGTACGTGAAGAACAGGATAAAAAAAACCTCAGCATGGACAAATAGATATATTTTAGAGATCTAACCAACCATAGACCCTGCAATCAACGAGAGCATTGTTTTAGTTGATGGTGGGCGATGGCACGTTTAACAGTATGAATGGCAAACAGATTTCTGCGCAATTAAGTGTACGGTCGTTCTGTGGCGATGGTCCAAATTTTCCAAAGTTAAAAAATTACCCACAAGTCACTACTTTTTTTTATTTGTACATAACAACCATCGTCTCCTGCCGAAAACTTGCCGGGACCTCCTGTGAAATAGTCAAGAGACTGAGACTTTTTAGGGGTAAACAAACGTCATATTATTAATTATAATATTCCTTTTAATTATAATAATTATTGTTCTCTGGGTTATGGTTGCCACCTTTGGGCTCGTGGGTTTTGTGAGTTGCACAATCATATAGCACTCAGGAAAATGCATTTATGTAGTACACATCTCATTCATTGGGTTTCATGAGATTTTTTTTATTATACGTCCCAGTTTTTTGTACCTCCAGAGGTGACAACCCTACACCATATTCTTGGTTCTTTCGGTAAAGTCACGTAGAAGGGAAACAATAAAACAATCATTGCTTGTGTTGCAGTCGAAACGTCGAGATAATTTTATTGTTTTATATTTTTATTATTTTATTGTTTCCCTTCTACGTGACTTTACCTAAAGAACCAGGAATATGAATCCCTGCAGTCATGAAAGCTTTAAATCAAAACCCTTCACCGGGATAATTCCCTTGGTAAATACATCCTGCTTCTGCTTGTGCACAGGTGCAGAATTTACATCGTTATCGCGTGGCCAGATGTCAGGTGCACAAGTAGAATTGGGATTGGGGCTCATTATTACCAGACTCACACACACACACACACCCTTAGCAGTAATAGGGTTCATGTTATATTGATGCACTGCCCTGTAATATACACCACGTAGACCCACAACCACCTGCGGCAATCTGGTCTGTGTAGTGGTCACCCTATCCAAGCACTATCCAGGCCAAACCCAGCTGACTTCTGAGATCTGATGATACTGAACGTTTTGGGGGTGATTTGGTCATAGGCAAATCAACCGGATGTATGTAATCACGTGTGCATTTACAACTGATCCCGCCCACGTCAACTCATTGCCACTGTGGTGTGCATGTGTACATATAGGTGCTGGGGCTTCCGCCAATGAACATCGTAACAGCCTCGAAAGTCAAGATTATTCGCTTTGGTGAGTGGAGGGGAGTTACTACTTCTGCTGTCACTTTTCATCGAGCTGTGGCCATGCAGCCAGCGATATTGTGCTCTGTGTTAATCTGGTTGTTTTTTTTGGTCCATGAGCCAACAGTGAGACTCCAAATGCAAGTGCATCTTGATTTTGAGATTTAAAAAATTAGCACGTTCAGATAGCACAGTATATGAGAAAAAGCCATAGTTAGGTGCCATCTAACAGCGCTAAATATGCGCATTACATCGATTTACAGACACTAGTCTTTCAAACATATAAACATGGCCTCGTTGAATATTATTGCCAATAATGTAAATGCCAAATGTGTGTCAGGTGTATGCTTATCAGCGATTATCAGTACAGCCGGCCATGCTATCTTACATGACAACTGTGCTATGGAAATACTCCTCGTCACACCTTTGATTAAGCGAGGTTATCTGCAAATATCAATGCTAAGCGTCTGCTGCTGTTCAAATGAGAGCATCGGGGAGTGCTCCTCTCCGTTGGTAGTCCCCAAGCCAATCGTGGAACGTCCAACATTAAACTATCGCGGGCGCCAAGCTTTCCACAGGACAACCCGCTGATGACCTGCCACGATAGGATGCTCCTCTTTGTTCAGCCTCGAGGGATGTTGAGCTGAGTCAACTGGAGCCCGGGATTTGGATTTGCACCATTCAGTTTGTGCCTGAAGTACGACTGCATGTATGTCGAACTTCTTTTGCACCGTACGTAGCCGACCGTGCTAATCAGAGGTATTGTAGTCTGCTTCACCAGTACTAATTCCCCGTGTTGCTTCTCTTTCTCTCTCTTCTCTCTGAAAACAGATGATGAAGGTGGCGTTTATTCCAACGGCAGGAAAACCATCCCGGGCAGTGACCCCCTCGACAAACTGCTTGGGATCGAAAATATTCATTTCCTCCACTTTGTCAGAAGATGCCTTGAGTAAGAGACAAATCACTGACTGCGCATCATCTCTTTTGGGTAGCCATCGAACGAAGATGGTCACCGCATCGCTCTTACCTTCCGCTATTAGGAAGCCAATGGAGCTGTGCACTTTTGAATCTAGATTTAAAACTAATTTCTTTAGAACTATCTCCTCCGACTAGCACGGTTGGCTACGTACGGTGCGAAATAAATTCAACATACATACGTCTGAGTAAATCATCGAAATTCAGATTTCCCATTGACACTCGCTGGAAAAAAGTGCGCTTACCTGGTGGAGGTTGGGCAGCTTTATACCTTTTCAGGGGAAAATTGCTCTTCCTTGCACCTTCTTCAATTAAATACAAGATATGCTATGGCAGAGGGTAAAAATACCTCACACCCACTCCAGATTTGAAAACGAATTAAAAAATATTCTTGGTTCTTTCGGTAAAGTCACGTAGAAGGGAAATAATGAAATAATAAAAATATTGTTGCGTTTTATTTTTATTATTTCTCTTCTACGTGACTTTTCCGAAAGAACCAAGAAGATGAATCCCTGCAGTCACGAAAGCTTTAAATCGGAATTTAGAAATGTTGCCGGCCTTATATTTGTTTCCTTGGTTTTTATTCGCTTGCCAGATGGGATCCTATTCGGCGGCTCACACCCCAACAGGCCCTGGATCATCAGTGGATACGTGGCACCTCACCCGACCCGGCTGTGGTGCCTCAGTCGGTGGTGGCGAGCCCATCCCTAGACCCAGCAGCACCAGTGCCTTCTGACGCACACGAGACAACTTATCTCACTCCTGGCAATTGCGGAACCATTTCTGGACCATCCGATCCAGAACCCGTCCCATCGCTACTGGCGTCCACCAACACAAGGAAGTCGTATGTGACTGCTCTTGAATCAAATTGTGAGCTACCGGGGGACGTGATCTCCCTATCACTACCAACATCCATCCACGCCCAGGGGCAATGTGACGAGTGGTCGAGCGGCACTCAGTGGGGCCTCTGTGAAAACATCGGCGGTGAAGAAATTGAGTCGACCATGAGGCAACAGTGAGTCTCCGTGTGCAAGTGCACCTTTGGTGAACGTTTTGGGCTGGCTGGGTTATTTAGTGAAAGTCTCCCTTTCTTCAACTGGCGTAGGGAAATTTCCATCTCCAATGCGGGGACACTGAGAAATTATAGTTTATTGTAGACGGGGCCTGTCTGTACTACAACTGTTGTAGACTCCCACAGAGCGCTATTGATTTATGGTGTATAGGAATTAAATGGAAACTGTTGAGCAATATTAAGATAACCTCAAAGAGATAATGGTTCTGTATTCGATGAGATTAATATTTCGTATTCGAAGAGATTAGGTTTCTGTTTTGAATGAGACATCTACACTGACTTAAAATTAAACTGTTCCATTGACATGACTCAAACACACATGAATGTCCCCAAGCCACTGATGTATATAATCCCTCATCTCCTAACATCCTCTGTGCCAACCTCCAGCCAATTGCAGTTACGCCCATGAAAAATACAAACTTTTATTCAACTGTATCCCACCGAAAGCTTTTGAGTTCAATAACTGTTCACGTATCAACAGTCCCCATCATCCCTTTGGGGTATCGTAAAATGAACAAAGTTTAGCCCTGTCATAGTACTATAGAATTTCCTCCACTTTCCTCAGGTCGCCAATGGAGATGATTACCGGACGCAAGAGCGTAACGATGGGACGCGTTGTTTCTGTGCCAGGTGGGAGCCTATTCGTTGCCCCAGCAAGGAACATCACGATGAGGGGAAGGAAGATGCCGTCACCTTCCCCAGGGCAACGCAAGCGAAGGGGCCTCGGCGGAGATTCCCACGTGTGAAGAATGGCTTCCGGGCACTTCTTTGCTTCATCCGGAAGTACTGCTGCTGCGGTGTGGGCCTAGTAGGCTGAAGGCCCAGGCAGTGAAGTACAGGGTAGTGAGTGTGGGGGGGTGGGGGGGGGGGAATTAACCCCATGCCTTGCGAATTTGTTGTTCCCCTAGTAGCTGCTACGTGACATGGAACCCAGCGGCAGGAGAGGCGACGGCAGAAACGCTGAGGACTCGTCACGGACTTGGGGAGTCGTCTGGTGCCAGCAGTCCGCGGAGAAGACCGGGCGAGCCAGGGGGAGTGTAAGATGGCTGCCCATCATCACACCGCAGACGCATGGGACTAGCCCTGATGAATGGCCCCTCACAATCGGACCTCTCCCCTGGGGTTTTCTTCCCAGGCAGCCTAGTGTGCGAACTCAGCCAAGGGTTTCCCAGAGGGGAGAGATTTGGCCAAAGTCCGATGTGAGTTGGGAGCCCCGGCCCCTGTGACGAGAGTGAGTTTGCCACGAGACCACCTCCAGGAGAGTCCGGATGACAGAAAATGGACACATGATAACCGTGTTGTATGCTAAGAAACACACAGCACCCAGTGTTTTTCGTGGTTAGTTGTCACCGGAGCCTTTAGTGAGTCAGCTAATATTGCATTCTCTCACCCGTCCGTGTCTATGTCGAGACCCGGCCGTGACTCGTGTGCATTTGAGATGCGATCTTAGTGGTATCCTGAAGCAAGTTAGAGGCCCGTGTTGACCGTGCATTCCATTGGCATTTTGTGTACCCAAAAGTTTCCGATTTAATAAAAATAATGAAAAGTTTATCCACGAGCAGTGTCTTCTGAATGAGTGTTGTAAGAAGAGTGTTGGGTGGCCAAGGCGCGACACCAGGCATAGGCGACGGCGTGCCAGTTTAATCTTCCCCAACAGCGAGTGGCCTGTGCGGCCGAGGGGAACCTCTGTAAACGCGAGTTCTTGCCGACTTGCATCGTGGGTCCGCACGGTGTTCAGCGAGCGGAGGAGGAGGTGGGAGTGAGTGTGTTTGCGAATTTGGGTGTCGCTGCGCCCGCAGTCTTTGAGACTCGCGGCCATGGGTGGAGCGTGAAGATTTCGGGCTGCGTGAGCAGGTCGAGCCGCATGGCAGAGGGAGGGGAGGCAGAGACTTCCATTGTGCACCACCGTGCGCCACCGCCACCGCACACCACCGTCAATGTGTACCACCGCCACTGTGTACTACCACCACCGTGCACCACCGCCAATGTGCACCACCGTCACCGTGTACCACCACCACCGCGCACCACCGCCAATGTGCACCACCGTCAATGTGCACCACCACCGACGCAGCAGCGTCACCAAAAAAAATCAATCCCACATCGGTTTTGACAATTTTATTACGATAAAAGGATGGTTTAACACATCTTTACATAGCAATGAGCCATAGTTAAACACCTGACGATAAAACATAGACTGTACAGCAAAAGGATAATCATTTCTATGACGACGCGCGCACACGCATAAGCGGCTACAACAATCGCGCGTGCGGAATGAGGAGCGGAAAGTTAAAATTACAGCAGCCCGGGTGGCGAGCGCACTGTCCCATCCTGCTTTAAACCCAGGAGCACAGAGTTCGGAACTGAAGTCCGCCGAGTTCTTGTACACCCCCCCCCCCCCACTCACGTCGCAGTTTGTGCTCAGTACCGGGCTCCTGTTGAAATAATATAAGAAACTAAAATATTAACAAAAAGTAAAAAAAATCACAGCAGCCCGTGTGAGGGTTCTATTGCCAAAAAAGCAAGAGGCAGAATGGGTTCAGCACGCAGGAGGATTTCGCTACCAATATTATCCATAAGAGGTTTTGGGTTAGATCGTGTGCTGCATTAGTAACAAATTGGCATGTTTTGTTTCCGTGACAAACCTTACTAATTGGCTGTTTCGGGTGGTGGCGGGTTTAACGACGCATTTATATATACGTGATCTAACCCAAAAACCTTCATTATCCGCAGAATGATGTTTGACCGATTTCGGATCTGCCTGTAAAACACACCAGATGCAATAGAACTCGTCTTGCACGAAAACCCGAGTCATATCATGGAAAAGAGGAAGAATAATAAACTAAACTATTAAACTATGTGTTTTTTTTTATTTTTACCAGGTAAGGCCCCACTGAGTTATGTAGCTCTTTTTCAGAAGCGACCTGACTCACAAATGATAGCTGAACGAAGTGGGCTTATCATCATCGTCACCATCGCGTGGAAATTTATAGCAGCAGCCAAATACACTAAACGCGTGATGTTCATTATAAATGTCGAGGGAAACACCGGAGGACCCGGAGAAAATTACACACGACCACGGGGAGAAAACGCAAACTCCAAATATACAGCAGCTGGCATCAGGGTCGGGATCAAACCCACGACCTCCTGTATACCAGGCGAGGGAGATAACATCTCCTAGCCACCGTGGCACCCCAAAAATATCTCACGAAACCAGACGAGGGGAGAACTGCGCAGAAACGCATCATCTCCAGTGGTTTATTGTTACGCAACTGACAAAAAACCGGGACATTTCAGGGGAAAAATAATATCTCTATAAATGCCCACGGAAAACTTACAGATTTCCCAGGAACGCTACCCCAATAAGAGAACATCCTGGAAAAAAAAAACTAGGGCAGGAGGCGACGCTGGAATACACGTACAGCCCTTGAGCTAATCCACTCAATGGATGAGGGCCCCCCCCCCCCCCCACCATTCGGTGTGGGCCATGGGGGTTATTTGACCAAACTTTGCGTGGGGTTCCACAAATCGTGGATTATAATCCACTCCCCAGGTCTCGCCAGGACGTACTGTAGGCCACCCCAATTGCGGAAACACTGCGCCGCTTGCTAAGGTGGGTTTTACTGGTGAGGATGAGATATTACAGACCGGGTCTCGATTCGCGTTCTCGCAGATTGTTTGGCAGGCAACAGCCGAGTTTGTTGCTTGTTTTCAGCCACGGTCGGCGGACAGCACATTTTCACCACGAAATAAAAGCGGCCTTAGATTTTGTCTCCATCGATGTCTGGACATTTCAAAGTGGCGGTGAGAGTGCAGAGAAGGTCTGTGAAACATTGAGATGGAAAATCTCGTGGGAGACACCCATCAATATACGCAGAGTTTAGAGCTCAGCCCTCGATCAGTCCAGGGCTGAGCACTGGAAAATACTTCTCGATTCCTCCCTCGCTGGTCGGGGAGGTGGGGGGTGGACGTGGATCTGGGGATTTGGGGTACCACGGAAAATATACCATGAGGAATTAAACCCTGATTCCTTAGAGGAATTAAATCATGATTCCTTAGAAAACAGTTATTCACCGTTCTTACCGCACTTTTTTTTTAAAACCAAAAGGTTCCAAATAATAAAAATGTGTTTGTTTGACCCACACATTCCTGAATGTTCAACACCTTGAGGAAGCCCTGCGTTTGGAGGTTTGAAAAAGTCTTAATAATTTTTAAAACATTTTTGGGACAAATCCTATGCATGCAAGTTTGCGCCGTGTGAACCACAGCATGTCCCCAACATACTGTCGGCAGATACACCACGTGAAGCATATACAGTGAGGGAAAAAGTATTTGATCCCCTGCTGATTTTGTGCGTTTGCCCACTGACAAAGAAATGATCAGTCTATAATTTTAATGGTAGGTTTATTTGAACAGTGAGAGACAGAATAACAACAACAAAAATCCAGAAAAACGCATGTCAAAAATGTTATAAATTGATTTGCATTTTAATGAGGGAAATAAGTATTTGACCCCTCTGCAAAACATGACTTAGTACTTGGTGGCAAAACCCTTGTTGGCAATCACCGAGGTCAGATATTTCTTGTAGTTGGCCACCAGGTTTGCACACATCTCAGGAGGGATTTTGTCCCACTCCTCTTTGCAGATCTTCTCCAAGTCATTAAGGTTTCGAGGCTGACGTTTGGCAACTCGAACCTTCAGCTCCCTCCACAGATTTTCTATGGGATTAAGGTCTGGAGACTGGCTAGGCCACTCCAGGACCTTAATGTGCTTCTTCTTGAGCCACTCCTTTGTTGCCTTGGCCGTGTGTTTTGGGTCATTGTCATGCTGGAATACCCATCCACCACCCATTTTCAATGTCTTGGCTGAGGGAAGGAGGTTCTCACCCAAGATTTGACGGTACATGGCCCGTCCATCGTCCCTTTGATGCGGTGAAGTTGTCCTGTCCCCTTAGCAGAAAAACACCCCCAAAGCATAATGTTTC